GGATTTATTAGGTACTCAAACAAATTATGAGAAATCAAATTTTGAATATAGAACTTGAAAGGCATTGGGCGGGTTGGACTATAACCTAATTTTTAGCTCATTTTAGCCCAACCTGCTTCAACACCCATAGCATTAAAACAGATCAAATAATCAATGACTCACTCATTTATTAACAAAACTCATTTTAACATTCTTAAATTAAGCCCAACCTATCCATATAACACCCTTACAACCTTAGTTGTGAAACTACGCCGCTTATTAATGATGAGTGGTAAATTGAAAGCAAACTAAACCTATTACATTAAAAAAGTAGATCATTGGGCTATGTTTTATTTTTTAACTTAACTATACAATTAAATGATATTGAAAATATTTTTCATCTCCTTTCAAGCCTTCAAAGTCCAAGCATAACGATGTAATTATCAGGGGCACACTCTACTACTAACGTCAATTTTCTAATTGTTTTCGTATTTCCTTACACTAAGTTGTGATCAAAATTAAATAATTTATGCTATTTCAACAAGCATTTAATAGGGAAAATAAAGTTTTAAAACCAAGATGACCCAATTGCTTACTTGCAATGCACAATTAATGTTGCAAATGTGGTCCTTCAATTTGTTGCTCACTTACTTTGAGTGAAAAAAGAAATTTACAAAGGATCAGATTGAATATATACTTCTACAAAAATGACATCTTTTTATAATTGAATTTCTTTTATATCCTTAGGATATGAATTTAAAGCCACGGAAATATGAGAATTTTTACTTAGAGACACAATATTAAAAGCTTAATTACTACTATTAGGAATGTTTGCACTTAATTACCTAAGTTGGTAAGATTTTTCAAACTAGATAATGCTAATTATATGGAAAAACTACAGAAAATGGCAAACTACATTTTATATTAAAATAATATAGATATAGTATGGATATATTTAACTAATAAATAGCAAATAACATTTCACACGCATAAAAAAATAAAATTCACTTTTCTCTATCCTAGTTCCACTTTTTCAGCCTTCATTCATTATCCCCAAATCACCTTCATTGGGGATAATGAATGAAGGCTGAAAAAGTGGAACTAGGAAAGAAAAAAGCGTGAAAAGTGGATTTTTTTTTATGCGTATGAAATGTTATTTGCTAATTAAATATATTCATAAAGTATACTATAGCTATATTATTTTAATATAAAGTGTAGTTTGCCATTTTCTATAGTTTTTCCTTATTTTTAGGGAAAATGCATAAGTACCTCCAACCTATGCCCGAAACCCCAGAGACACACTTATAATATACTAAGGTCCTATTACCCCCTTGAACTTATTTTATAAATAATTTTCTATCCCTTTTCGGCCTACGTGGCACTATCTAACCGGATAACTTGAAAAAATTGTCAACACGCGCTGGGCCCAGAAAATAGTACCACGTAGGCCGAAAAGGGATAGAAAATTATTTATAAAATAAGTTCCGAGGATAATAGGACCTTAGTATAGTATAAATGTATCTCTGAAATTTCGAACATAGGTTGGGGTACTTATGCATTTTCCCTTATTTTTACCTTACACAAAATAGTTGAAGAATTGTGGTCCAATATATTCATAAACCTCCAGTTCAGCTAAAGTTGTAACAGGCATATTAGAGTTGTGTCCACTAAATATTAATTCTATACGACTTAGATGAACATGCATGTTACAGTGCATTAATTACTTGCTGAATGAACTGAACAGGTATTTTCTTCATAATATTCTAAGGCCTCATATATTTACATTTAATCATTCAAATTTTAACTATCGTAATTGCCGTCCACCAACACTAACCACCATTTACAATCATTATCACAAACTACCACAATAACCATGAATCACCTTCTTTAGTCACCACGTGATAAATCGGCAACCACATTCATTATTCACGACCATTGTTAGCTATTACCATCATCCTTCACAACTATCAACCGCCATCACCAACTACTAGCATCAATCTCTACTCTCAATGACCATCACCACGAGCTACTAACACACCTCACCATTAGCCAACATTATCTTGACCGACATCTACAACCACCATTGCTAGCCATTACCTAATCTCTTCATTATTACCCCTACATAGAAACTGTGCCTGAAGGTGCCATGCTTATGATGGAGGGAACTAGGCCCTTGTAAAGAGAGAAGAAGGTCCCTCAGCGCGAATCATGCCACTGAAAGCACCAACTGAGCCTCCCAATGATGCTACATTCCAATCCTAATATAGAATATTGACATGTTCCAAGAAAAACATGATAGGATCATCGTTGAATGGTTAGAACTTGAGATAGTTCTTTGAATATAGCCATAAAGAAGAGAGCCAAAGACTAGTATTTTGCATACTACAGGACTCGCAAATATATAAAGGATAGAGCTCTATTACCCAACTCATCGAAATACTTAAACTGATCAAATTTAGCTTAAGTCATTACAGATAAACTGAATCATCAATAGCAATTCCCACAGCTTCTTCATTAGACAGTGTCCAGCAATTATGCTAGCGGCTTTTTAAAGATTTATTAAGCCCCCAGACCATATTCTCTAAACTTTGTTAGTTCTGCTGAGTCCATTCAAATCAGTGACATAGAGTCAAAGCAATCAGCATGACGATGTAGGAAAATCGAGAAACTTTTGTATGATTAAGCAGTAGGTGCCACTTAAAGAAAATAAGTTGTCAAGCTAAGCAGTCTGAAAATGTCAATGGGTAAAGTAAATTTTAAAAAACCAGTATCAACTTGCATTATTTTTCAAGCACACAATCTAGGCAATCTAAGAGCTAGTTTCACCATAGAACACACCATATAACACGACAAGAAAGATAAGTTCCGCGTCTAGAACCAACTTGCATAGCAACTTTAACTTCTCTCCTTTGATTTAGTAGTGCAGATACAGATACAAATATATATATATATATATATAACACAACAGAGTTCAACTTGTTATGCTTTTCAAAAAGAACTCAAGAAGCAAAAATACTGAAAAATGTTAAAATATCACTCACAATTCCATAGGCATGCAGAGCACAGTGGCTGCACTTCCTGCGGCAGCACCAGCAACAAATCTTTCGAGATTAGTTGCTTCCTCATTATCAGTTAATTAACGAAGATAGTCCCTTTATTTTTCATAAGAATAGAAGTTGATAGACTTAAACGGAGCTATGCGTAGAACATTGATATTATGGAACCAGCAACAGATACATATAGATATTATGGATTCATATAGCTGACCCCAACTAGTTGTGTCTAAGTTGATTGATACAAAAAGGTATTTCATATTGATTGATAGACAGCAATACAGAATCATACCAACAAAAGCGACGACTAGGCCTTTATCACAATATTCCTGTTCTGTTCTATTTAGTTCACCTCTTAAAATAGAATAATAATCAGTAATGCATTTAATCAACAAATTCAAGTACATATAAGAAGATAATTTAACAAAAGTGATCTCCTTTAAACAAAGAGGATTAACATACTAACCGCTCCTCGCGACAAAAGATTCAAATTTTTGGTTCTCGATTTGAAATATCAACTGTGCCAACGCGTTCATTTTCTGGTAAAATAGACCAATTTGGAGACTGCACTGCCCTTAACCACTTAAAATCATCTACATTCGACCAATTACCTGTCTCTTCACCAAGATTAGCTTCCTCAAGATCCTTCTCAATCCCTTCATACTTTAAGCAATACGGTGCAAACCTTACACCATCACTGTCCTCGATTATCGGCCTACTCCTCGCTCGAAGATAAAAATCACATCTTTTAGCTTGATGAATCCGAATCTGATGCGATGCCATAACAAACACACAATTTGTCACTTCTTCAATCAACACTGACCCAAAAACAGGTCCAACATATACCTTACAATCAATCAGTTTATGCACAAACAATGCCCTCACATTCCCCATTAATCTCACATCACAGCCCTTTAAATCCGATAAAACGAATTCCCTAATCTCTTCATCATTACCCCTACCGAATTCCTTCACTAATACCTCATTTTCTTTGCCCCTAAACCCTGGCGAATCCAAAACCATTAACACTGAATCCTTTGATTCCACATTTGGAACTTCTGATACGATGTCGTTTTGCGTTGTGATTTTCTTCGTTGATTTGTTTTTGAAAGAGAATTTCTTCCTTGGGATTACTTCGCCCGTAACCTGTTCAACTAATTGTTTTAGATCGGTTATAGTTTTGAGGCATGTACGGACTTCGTAGGATGGTAGGGAAAAGGAGTTTTCAGCGACGAGTTTTTCGAGATCTGCGATGGATATTGAGACGTCGTCGAGTTCGGATTTAAGAGTCGGGTTGGAATGCGGGTCGGGCGTTTGACGGATGCGAGAGAGTGTGGATTCAATGGAGTTTTTGGATTCGGAGAAACGAGAAAGAAAGGAACTTGTGGAGATGAACGTAGAGTTCGATTCTGAATTGGGTTTGCGAGCCAAACGTGATTGGTGTGAGTTCGAAAGGCGTTCGATCATCGCCGCATGCTTCCGTTGGAGAGCGGAATCCGACGCCTCGGCGGCGGCGGTGTTCGGGAGATTATCGTCTTCTTCCATAGATGAAGAAATTGCACAGTACTTTGCTCGGAGCTCCACTTGACTGAAAAGTTAAAATTATATAAGTCTAATGAACTGCTGGTTTAGAGTTTAGACAAATTGCAGTTTGGTCTCCCTAATATTTGGGAATTAGAGCTCTACACCCTTTTGGCGCTTAAAATATTAGGTGTTTAAAAATATAAATTCGAAACTTATAATCTCAAACTTGTCATAGGCGGAGTTAGGTAAGATGGAAGGGGCTCATTCGAACTTTTTTGAAACGAGAATAAGATTCAAATTTGGAAGTGTAATAAGTTGGAGAAAAATAACTTCCAGCCAAACTTTCTATAGGTTGGTTAAATGTAATTTTGCGATAAGGGATGTAATCAAATTTTACATCTACCTTTGTTGGAGGAGGGGGGTAGAGAAGCCATTTCCAATAGACCACTCGCGGCTCGAAAGCACCCAATCCAGAAAACGATTAATGGAAATAGAGTTGACGGGAATTTAAAATAAACATAGGCCAAAAGCGCCACCACGACCATTTCATTTGTCAGCCATACAGCAACTTTACAAAATGAGCACCTTCCCAGTCCGCAATTTTCAAGCACAAAATGCTTCTTTTTTTTCATCCCCAAGTTTAGTGTACATGCATTCTTATATCTTATATGTATGTCATAAATAAACCGCGAAAAAGAAGAAACAGAAAAACCATACAAGTTTCAGCTCGAGCCTTCAACTTCAGCTGGCAATCCAATATTTAGCATATACATCGGTCATCATCCCAATTGACGGGCTTGGTCCTTCCAAAAAGAGTTATCTAATTTCGTGTTCTGTTATCCAAAACCCACTTGAGCAGAACTACGTTGAGAATTTCTTTGGCTTGTGGCTAGGCTGGATAATTTGCCAGCTTTCTCTAGTCCACTTTTGATCCAAGCAATGTTGTTCAAATCTGTGGCCATAGAAGCTAACTCATGGCTGAGGAGAGGAGGATGTTCCTCGTAATCAACAAACTCGGGACCCAACAATGAACTTTTGGAGGTGCTCTTGGTGGTAGCTGCACAGCATCCATGGCCACACCCCTGAGGAACTATGGTTTCACCAGATACACCTTCAAGAAGTTTGCATATATCAAAGTCTGGTGAGAATGTGTGGATCAGAGGCCCCTGCATTGGCACTATTCTTGAAGTTACAGAAGGGTTATAAACATTAAATGCGCCAATTTTCTCAGTTGGATGAGAAGCAGGTGGATCACTGTTTCCCATAGATGTAGGACGACTTCTTTCAAAAGCGAAGTGTGGAGTTTTCTCAGGAATACCACACGTCCCATATATTTGATCTTTGTCTTCAGACTGGCTGGTCATGCACTCAGTACGACTAACTTCTTGCATTTCGAGGGGCTTAATTTGGTTAACATCTTCACGTGACATAGTTTCTTCAGATAATGCCCTGGCTTTGTAAATGCTACTATCATCTAACATCATGCTGCATACTGGTTTAACCCTCCATAGCCCTGCAAATCGACGCCTTAGTGTAGAGTTCCAGTGGTTCTTAATTGCATTGTCTGTTCTACCAGGGAGCAATTTTGCAATTGCGGCCCATTTATTTCCATGGACGGCATGCGCATTAATTATAATGTGGTCTTCTTCATCTGCAGCAAAGAAAGCTTTGATTAGGCTTCAGGGAAGAATATGGTCATGACTCATTAAAATAACATGGATTGAGGAGATTCTTAATGCAAATGATTACACTTGCTTCTACTAAATTAAACTAAATATGAATAGAAGTCCCAAAACCAAGATAATTTGACTATAAAACAAATTCACAGAAAGAAAAACTCGCAAGCATTATTTTAACTGTATAATCTACCGCCTTTTAAGGAAAATGCACTTGCTCAGTGGGACAGAACTGTGATGTGCTGCTGAAATGAAACATCACAATATTCATACTTCAGTGTAAAGTTTATGCATCAAATCAAGAGTTTAATGTAAAGTTCTAAGTTTCATTAAGCATTGCAAGACTAAAAGTAAAACAAACTACAAGAGCAGCTTTGGTTAATAAAAGTAATAAATAGACATCCATGAAAAGTAATACAAGCTACATGAATGACGAGCAGCTTTGGTCACTAAAAATGATAATACAATTATGCCTAGATATATCCATTTGTACTCTTTGCATCACCAAGCACTCGTTAAATGAGCAAATCATGCATCATCACGTAACTCCGCCAGTGGGAGCTTGCTCCTTTGCCGGCCCTAAATCTTGATAAAGAGAGAAGGTGAATGAACATCATAAAACTAGTCATTTTACGATGAATCCTCCTTCCTCACAATACAAAATATATAGTGAGAACGATGCAAAATAAATAGCGAAGGATTCACATAGCGAACACCACAACTGACTTGGGATTAAAGTTTAGTATGTTCTATGCATCACCTATGTCGTCATCTGGCCACTTAAATAGCTACTAGACCATCCTCATATCTTCTTGCCGTTCAACAATGTAGTGGTTCCATCCATGCACAGAGCAACTAGCAATAGCAAGAACTACCATGCAAAGAACAACTCAGCAAAAGGACATTTTTAGATGCTTTAGAAAATTATTAACAAAGAAGATTATCTCTAACATTGTCAGTGGCAGACTAGGTAGAAACCACATTTCCATTAACCTTCAGCAAATGGTAACACCAAAGTGACACAAGGTGAACTGTGAACTTCACTAAAGTTGATGCCTAAAGCTAAGTGCAACTAGAGACAAGTATATTTCATGTTTCCAAATTGCATGTTCATCTTGTAGAAAGAGGTAGAGACAGAGTAAGCAATTACTCTTGACAACATTTGATAAAGAAGCAATCTCAGCTAGAACAAATTCTTCCTCATCATGAAAAGAAATTGTTAATCATTTGCAAGCATTAGCAAGGTATGTTCACTTGAAGCAAATAACTCTTAAGGGAGGGAGTGAAGGGAGCTATGTCTGAGTTAAACTTGGAGATTGAAGACCTATTGTCTCTCGGGCATAGACACAAGTAACAAAGCAACTATAGGCCAATCTAAAATAACATATTCACCAGATGGCAAAGAAACCTAAATTGCACATAGTTAGACCTCGTGCACCATTCGTCAAGATTTTATTTCATTTACATTTATAATTACCATTCAATGATTTTTATACAGGGGATTCTAACAAATTGGGTGCTGAACATCTCTAATGACTCGAACATGACACTATATTACTTGGGTAATCTTTGCCGAGGACACAAGCATGCATCAGTAAACCACTGTAAGAAATCAGACTTTATAGTACTAGTCCTATACTAAGGAGGCACTAAATCTCGAAATTCTAGAATGCAACACTAAGCTACCAGAGGGGCTATCAGCCAAGGAGACGCCCGCAGTCGACACACATGTTTTTTTCTCTCTCTCAGGTTTGTGTGTTTGTAAAGGGAGGGCGTAGGGCATGTGAAATAGAAAACTTATATTGCTCGGACATCTTTCAAAAAGTATGCATTTTTGGAGGATCCAACACAGGTGCAGCAACATTTTCGGAGACTCTAAGCAACATAGATAAGAAAACACAGAAATATACCAAAGCAGAAGAATAAGTATATTCAATTGAAACTCAAATATATAAACACAATCCAATATAAGCACCAAAAAACCTCCCTTTTGCTAGCAAAAAATGTGCCCTAATAAAAGCCATCGAACAAAAAATTCAAAAATCCAAAAGCACTTCAAAACAAAAAAGGATAAAATAACAGCATATTATGTATCTATACAAAACTAAACAAACTCAATAGAAAGCTAAACCAAAAGAAAGCCGAAGGTTTTACCAGTAAAAGGCTTGCGTTTAAGCACCGGATCAAGCTGATTACACCACCGAAGTCGGCACGATTTCCCAGAACGACCTGCAATCCCTTGCGCTATCATACTCCAATTCCTTGCACCGAACTTATTAACAAGTTCAGTCAGTATTCCATCTTCCTCCGGCGACCAGGGCTCTTTGACTCTTCCACTACTAACTGTACTTCCTCTTCCTCCGTGCAACATCGCATCACCGGCATCAACCAAAGTACATCCTCCGTCGCCGCCATCGCCGTCGCCGGCGGCGGCGTAACCGTTCTGCTCCGTCTTTTCATTCATCTTCTCTGCTTATTGTTATCAGGTCTTTTTCGGTTTGTATAGACAACAGTGCCTTTTTAACTGAAAAAGTTGTTCACATAAATTACGATTTTGTAAAATTCTTTATTTTAAATGACTTTGATATCCTCTTTTTAGTTTAGGTATATACTTCATTACTACGACGTCGTATTTCGTCATGTGTAGTAGGGGTATAATTGTAACATCACAAAGTCGGCTCTTTGAACTGCCTTGGTAACCACCTCATTTGGTTAATATTACTTCTAGTCCTTCATTTATCACTAAATGGTAATTTTTGTCCCTGTAATATTTTCTAAAGCATATATAACTTCGATTAATTGAAATGTACACTTTTGATCCTTTTACTTGTGAATGTTCGTCTCACCACTTAATTAATTACTCGTGTTTTATGTTAAGTTTGTAGTGTTACTTTATATTTAATGGTAATATAGTTCTAGATATAATTCTAACCAACTTAGTTTAATTGATTTTTAAAATATTGAAATCCAATAAAATAAAAAAGACGGGTTAGTTTGATTTTTTTTTTTATAACTAATTGATAATAATAATAATAAAACAACATAGACATAAAATAACAATTTCAAATGAGTATTAGAATTCAACAAATTACTTTTTACTATTAAAATTACATGTTTAAATTTCATAACTATAGAGATTCATTCACTCCACATGTCTAACAATTACGTAATTAATATACAACTTTAAATACAATGAACAATGAAAAAATCACCACATCACATATTCACAATTAGATAATACATTATAATTATTTATGAAAAAAAGTAATACATTATCATATATGCTTTTAGGGTTGTTCATGGTTATGGTTAAAAAATCAAACCGAACCGCAATCTGAACCAAATCGATTAAAAAAACCGATATTTGATTGGGTTTGGTTAGGTTTGGTTTAAAATTTTGAAAACCGATATTATTTGGTTTGGTTTTGGTTTTACTAAAAAAATCGCAAAAATAATCAAACCAAA